TATTTACACCCATATGCCTACCGTTGACACTCAAGATGCTTTTTTATTTGATATTTGATGAATTGAGGTCATTTTTGTTATTTTATTCTCGAATTCAAGAACCAAAGTAATTGGCATAGAAAGTCTAAGAGTTTATGAAACAATGATTGATATTTCGTTCTACTGTCAGTGCTGCCTGCACTATCAAGATTAAATGGAGATATTACGTTCGTAAGTCAAAAGTGCCGTACTTAACTAACTGATCTTCTTTTAGAAAAAAATCTTACCATACACTTGATTGATTGACATCGTACCGCATTTTCAGTATTGCATGCTTTAATGCTCTGAATGATGGACGAGTCTCGGGATCAAAATTCCAGCAAGTGTTTACGATTGACCAAAGTGCAATATTACAGGACTGTGGTTTCTCTAAAAATTGTCCTGATCGTTTTATTCTTTTCACTTCTCTGTCACTGTCAACAGATGCATATGGCAGTTGTCCTTGTGAATGAGCTTCCCATATGAGCACGCCCATGGAATAAACATCAGATTTCTCTGAATAGTTTAGATGCCCATCTTTCTTCCTTAGAATTTCTGGTGCACAGTATCGTATTGGTTTGATTGTAAGGGCCGTACTAGCGACACTATCCACCACAGAGAACACTGTACTGGCTTTCGTAAGGCCGAAATCAGTCAGTTTGAATAAATTGCGATCAGGTTCAGTTGAATGCAGGCGAAAACCTAGCACGTTTCGACAAGCCACGTCACCGTGGACAATATTATTATCTGCAAGACATATGAGCGCGTCAGTGACCTGAGCGAAAATTTCTAAAAATACTGTCGCAGATGGGCAAAAGTTTTGTTCGCGCAACTGATAAGACAAATCGCGGTGCGGTGTAAATTCTTGCAGCAACAGAGTCGAACATGGATCGCTATGTACGAGGCCGAATGTGCGCACAATGTGCGGATGGCAGCTGAGCTGAGCATAAAATGATGCTTCGCGGGATGCCCGTACTCCATCGATGTTCATCAAAATAATAGGAGGTCCATGCTTACCGATCCACTCTGCTTTGTAAATGATCTTCCCGGAAGAAGCGAGCAATGGATGCTGTTCACTTTTGCGTACATCAACATTGAGACGGAATTCATACAATTTTTCTTTGGACCCCAGAATAAACTCGTCCACTAAGTTACGAACGATATAATTTGGCCTTAATGAAGCAGCAGTCATTGGTTCACGTGTAAGTGGACTAGTGCCGTGCTTTTGAAGCCAAGCAACAATGTTTTTTCTTTCATACGTGTGGCCATCCTCACCAACCACAGGATCACTGAATAGTTCAAGACCGATGGGACATTCTAGGGTATGATCAGCATTATCTTCCATATTCAAATTGCAATAGATAATACTATTCTTTGTCACAGTCTCTAAAATTCAATGGTAAACTCATGCTTTACATCTTTGTTATACGAAGTTCCACATTGTAATATCGTTTGTAAACGGAACAGAATAAGACATTACTAGTTTCAAGAAAACTAGTTGTCCTCTTATAATCATAGTTTATAAATAGGAGAAAAAAGACATTGCTTGATTTTAGCAAGCTGTTCAAAATCAAAATGACAGTAAGTTGTGCATGTGCACTCTTTTTTATGATTGTAGGAATTATTGTCTAGTACAACACTCGAATCACACAAGTCTGTATCTGATAAAGATTGGATCGCATCAAAAACATTCACCGGTTTCGAATTTTAAATTTAGTAAATAGTGAGTGTACATGAGATAGTGACTTCGTTGTTTTGAATACTTAGAAAACTTGTATAGATTTATCAAAATCATGCGTCTGAATATGGATGAATACTAGACTTAGACTAGTACGGATCGATGCCCTTGCAATGTATCTTGTATCTGATATCGAACACTTTCCGCTCAACAATACACTCATCTTCACATGCGCGTTCACCTCCATCCTCACGTCCGCACCTCTGTATTTCTGAAGAAAAGCCGGGCATAGAAAAACAATGGAAACCGCAGATTATTTTCAGCCATTTTAGTTGTTAGCTGATGCAGAAAAATGAAGTGCATTGTATGATAGTAAGTTTTTGTGAAACCACGAAAATCAGCATAGATTTAGCAAGAAGAACACGAAAAAAATGACTAGATTTTTACTGGATCCATACTTGTCTGGTAGTCGCCTGAACTGTGTATATTTGATGTCAATCACATACGTTTCAAAGAAATCAATAAGCGTAAGCTTCCGTTGAAATTGTTACGATTCTCGCTCTCTCTCTCTTCATTGCAAACCTTAGCGACAGGAGTCAAGGTCAAAGATAAACTTTTATGGTTTCTAAGGAGAGCAAGCACAAAACCTCTTTTTTCATAGTTTCTCGGCAACAAAAAAAAGGCACTAAGCGGTACTCACAATGAGACTTAAACTTTTTTGAAAAATTCGAAAGATTCACTTGAAGTTTTAATGCCTAGTATGCGTTTTTGAATTACCTGATAACGCGGTTTTTGACTATTTTTTAGAATAAATCGTTACACTCTAGATATGAAGAATAATGGCTATTAACCCATCGATTTATCAAAATCGTCATATGACCAATTCAAAAAAGCACGGATTTATCGAGCTCTAACTTTCTAAATGCATTAATATTAGTGTTTCTTGGCTTTCTCAAACAGGTAACGACGCGCCGAAGTATATTATGCGTTTAAATCACTATTGATACCAGGCCTCTTTATCTGCGTATTCGACAATTGTAAGAATATAAATAATAGTAAATTAAGAAAAATTAAATGAGAAAGAACCAATGAATAAATAACTACATGATAAATAAAAAACAAGCGTCGGCAGAAAGGGTATGGGTGTAGGTGGTACTGAACAGACGACCCACACCCACACTCCACACCCTACTAGAAATGGGTATAAAGACAACTGTAATTTTGCTCATATGTTGGTATTATAGATTAGTGTAATGTTCTATAGAAATTACTTGGCTATATAATTTTAAAAAAAATGTTTTCTGCATTTTTTGAAACGTCTCCGAATTCGAATAACCGAGCGGACGCAGAGAAAATTGTAATAACTAAAGATCCATAGAAAAAACTGATCTTTTTAAACAAGTGGTAGGAAGTATACAAATTGTATACATCGGATTTTTTTATAGGAAATTCAGACAGAACTAATATTTTGGATTTTAAGTATTCTAATAATGGTCGATCGCTTGAGGTAATTAAACCAAAGATCTAAAATGTTGTGGTGATAAACTTGGTAGATTCTCTCAAAGAGCCTCTATTTTATATTGTATGTTTTGCCTTAGACGGGCAACATATAAACATGCATAACTTTCGAAGCGTTATGCACTCAAATCCTTTTATAGCTTTCACTAGAACGCTATCTTGTATCAACGGACTAAAATTCATTGATATCCGCGCGGACTCAAGCTCGAAAACTTTTCTCGTTAGTCAAAAGTTTTTATTTGCATAAAGTAAGAGTGTTTTTTCTTTTTAAAATTTACTATGCAATAAAAAATATCATACACTTTACTTCTTAGGAGATCATAATGTGTTCATCTGATTGTCAACAATAAGAATAGTAGAAAGATGCTTGCGAACATATCGAAAACAAATTGCGCGCAAGAGTAGCTACCGCTTGAAGGTTGGAGAAAAAAGCAAAAAATACTTTTTTTTTGATCAACATAAAACAACTTGAAACTGACGGCGACCGATTTCCTTCAACTTTCTACTCTCATAAATGAAAGCGAATACAAATTGATTGCTTTTGTACAGAACATTTTTTTCAATGAAACAGAACGACAAATCTCCATACAACATGGATGTTGAAATACCTTTTGTTTGTTTTTATGTAATAAAATGGCACAAAATATTGCCCAACAATTGTGAAAACGACTTTAAAGTACTAGTGAGAACCACTCGCGTAGATATGGGTATAGGGTGTGGGTGATGTCGGTAGTATGGATGGGTGTGGGTGTGGGTGATGTCGGTAGTATGAATGGGTGTGGGTGTGGGTGATGTCGGTAGTATGGATGGGTGTGGGTGTGGGTGATGTCGGTAGTATGGATGGGTGTGGGTGTGGGTGATGTCGGTAGTATGGATGGGTGTGGGTGTGGGTGATGTCGGTAGTATGGATGGGTGTGGGTGTGGGTGATGTCGGTAGTATGGATGGGTGTGGGTGTGGGTGATGTCGGTAGTATGGATGGGTGTGGGTGTGGGTGTTGGTGTAGGTGTGGGGTGTGGGTCGGATATAGGTATGATTGAACTTAATACTCACACCCAAACCCACATCCTCCCACACCCACACCCACACCCTACTTAAAGCTTACATCTAAGGAATTTGAGAGGCCGCAAAAGTCGAAAAGGCTGGTAACGGGTTTTAAGGAAAATCTTTAAAAGATCACATTTATTTTCTTAGCTTCCGAAACACATTAAAGATGAATAGAAATCCAAGTATCTCGCACATAGGTTTGCTGATAAAAGATGAATGTGAATCGAAAACACATCATATGCATACCCACATTATGGTCAAGTCGTATATCGGTTTCGTCCGCATTGCGAATGCTTCCGATGTTTATTTATGTATCACGATAGGTGGAGTCATCTTTTCATATTAAGTTTCATTGGTGGCTACATACATATGATCTTTCTCGAATGATACAGCTAAACAATGATTCACACAGCAAAGGCGTAAATAAATTCACAGCTGCTATGCAATGTCGAGTTTTTTAATCATCAAGCATATTTTATGGACGACACACAGTCTTTTACGCATGTCAAATACAGAAAAAAAAGAAAGATGCCTTTTTTTGCCTGTTCTTTATTATTACACGTGACTGTATATTCTGCATAGAAAATAAAATAAAACGAAAAACGTATACATACATGTTTCGTGTCTACTTTAGAAGCTCATTTAAGCATTGACTCAATCAAGTGACAACAACATTGTTCGTTTCTCAGAACCCTTTGATATAAAGTTGTGAATTGAATTTCTAGTTCTATGTATATATAAATGTCGATAGGATCCGCAGCATATGAATTGTATCTGACCATTACATGGTTTGCATGCGCATATATTTCATGGATATGTGAACATGTGCTGGGAATCATCAAACGACAACATCAAAAAGAATCCGTCAATGTGGAAGATGTTATTCAATTAATTCTGGAACGTCCAACTGGTAGTCGAATCCGTATTCTACGCAATGAACGAAAGTCACCGTCAAATTCAATACGTCGTCCACCGTTATTCTCACCAAAATCGGCCGTTACGAACAGCGAAAGTACGCATTTTATAAGTCTAGGACGAGCAAACAAAATACTTGCCATCGATACATCCTCTAAAACTGTTACATGTGAACCTGGGGTTACAATGGAAGAACTAGTCGATGCACTACTTCCATACAATTTAGTACCAGTTGTTGTTCCAGAATTTAAAGCGTTGACGGTTGGTGGTGTGCTGGCAGGAGCAGGACTTGAAAGTTCAAGTTTTCGCTACGGGCAATTTGGCGATTCATTGCTCGAAGCTACTTATATATTAAGTGATGGTCAAATCATAACTTGTAGTCCTACCAAACATTCTGATCTATTCTATGGAGCATTGGGCGCATGTGGCACATTTGCACTTATGATTAGTGCCACACTCAGTCTTCTAGATGCACAATCAGATTGTTTCGTACAATGTAAATATTTCCGAACAAATCAACCTATCGAACGTTTAGAAACCCTTTGCCATGAAGACTATATAGATGCGATAGTCTTTTCAGATTATTCTGTGATCATTACAGGAGAAAGAGTCGAAAAGCGATCGTTACCGAAAACAGCAACTATACAGACATTTTCAAAAGCGTGGGACCCGTGGTATTACCAGCACATTAATAGATCATTCATAAATGAAATGAATCAGCTTTATTAACCCGAGTAGGATGTACCTGGACATTATGATCATTTTCCTCATTGTACAGCGCGCTCTACTTTATACGAACGTTCTTTATGCATATTCTTTAAGGCAGTTCACAGTAAAACTGATGCGACAATGATAATTGAATATGTACCGCTCAAGGATTACTTATTTCGATATGATCGTGGTGCATTTTGGATGGGTCGGTATCCTATGAACCCCTTGCAAGACAATGTTGGCTATTTTCCGCGCTGTATTCGTGATCTATTGAATCTTTTTCCATTTGGAGGCTATAATATTCTGAGTAGAACACTACTTTCACCTGTTTTTACTTCATCTTCACTCTACAAGCGTCTTCATGCATCTTCGACGTCAACCATTGCAGATACTTTACTCATTCAAGATATTTACATTCCTAAATCGAAATCAAAGGAGTTTCTAACCTTTGTACAGTCTGGAAAGTTGTTTTCGGAGCATGGTGGTATACTCGAACCGATTTGGCTTTGTCCAATTCGTTCAACCCTCACACCTCAAAAGTTTAGTCCACATTTTTCTGACAATAGTAGAAATGAAGATTCATTTATCAATATCGGTATCTGGACTCATCAGCCAAGTTGGCAAGCAGGATCGTGTGAAGTGAGAAATACTACAAGACTATTAGAAAGAGAAGCTTTGAGATTAGGTGGACGAAAAATGCTGTACTCGCTCTCTTATTATTCAAGGCAAGAATGGTCCGTAATCTATAATATTGAGTGGTATGAAGAAATGAAGCGAAAATGGGATCCAGAGTATGCTTGGGGAGATTTATACGAAAAAGTGGTTGAATTGTAGTCGGATGATTGTTGCTAAGAATTTAGAAACAGTATTCAGCTCTATTCTTTGCAACAACTGAAAAGACTTGGGTACTAATAAAATTTCATTTAAATTGCTACTATTGCTTATGAGATTTGTCATTTTGCTTTTTCCTTCAGTATTTTTCACTTTCCAAATACTAAACTTCGAAATGAATAGATAATAGAAATCATTACTATAAACAATTCTATTTTTTGAATTTCCATCTCTTTCAATTGTTTTAGGTATCGTTGGATCGAGTCGCATGTACTTCGATGTGTCGATCGGTCGTACTCTGAAATTATACATTTAACGCTTATTCAGATCAGTGATCATTAAACGTTTGTTGCTCGAAGGTGTTCGTTCAACGATAAGTGAATAGTGCATTGCAGATGTTATAAGTCTTGGTGTAAGTCTGCTGTGAATGTGATTGCTAGTCTACTCTGTAGCCGCAACCACCCATACCGACATGCTTTGTAGAACATCATTCAAGAGAAGTTTTGAAGTATAATGGTAGAAGTTTGAACTCCCATCCTTCTCTTTTCATACACATCGTGATAGACATGAATAGTCTATCATATCAAGTATATTAGCAACGTCTCACTAGAGACCTGTAGGAGACTCAGAACTCCAACTCCGACAGAGTCGGAATCAGATTTCATGTATTTTTCTTGAGTGAAAGTCTGAGTTTATGTAAATTCTAAAATTCTCGAAACCTTATTTCATTTTTTTCTCATCCAGTATTTTTTAGAATTCTAATTGTCAAGTAAACTAAATCTGTTTATTCATAACAGAATGATATGAGATAGAAAAATATAAAACAAAAATCTACACTAAATTGATTTTCACAAATAACCACTGTAAACAAAATAATATCACTATTCATTATGCCCATTTTCGTCATCAGATGTGTTTTCATGATGTTCGTATACTTTTTTTACTGCTATTTTACTTGAGTAGTCAGACGCCATTGAAGCTGAGTCAGAAATTGCTGTTTTTGTTGGTGCTTCTTTAATTTGACGAAATTTTTTCAATTGAGTCATGGTTTTTAAGAAACATGAGTTGATTGAGATTTTCACCACCTAAATTCGTTCTATGCTCACTCGCACTAGTTTTTGATGATGGGAAAAGACGTTCAATCGTGGTGTTGGAAGCTGGTATTGCAAATATTTTTCTAGCAATTAAAGATAACGTTGAAAATGAATCTTGTTGTTTACTCCAAAAATCCAACACATCTATATATATCGTCTTCATCATCAACATTACTAAAAAAGAAATCTTAATTTAAATAGCCATCAATTTCTTGATAAAGATTAATCGATGACAATAATATATTTGGTTGTTGATCAGAACATTGTGCTAAAAGATTCTTCTTTGCAGAAGTCGTACACTTACTTAAAAGTTGTGAAGGCGATGAAGTAATTGTTACTGTGAATATAATTGGTTTTGTTGACGGAGATGAAGAATTTATTGAATCAAGATTAGCACGAAACTAGATTTCAAATTCGTTTTTTAGAGTACGTTAACCGCATGCTGTTTTTCGTCATTACACATCTTGAACTTTTTAACTTTGAATGTAAAATAGTTGCTAAACGGTACTCGTCCGTAATAATTCACATTGTTTTGATTCGATCATCTATAAAAGAAGAAACCAAATTAAAAAACATGATAACGAACTTCAGTCATTTTTATTCGTTCCTGAGCTTTAAAAAACTGATGAAGCTTCATGTAGTTCTTTATCTACCTCAAAAAGTTTTAAGTCCTATAAAATAGGATTCATTTTCTTGAAGAACATCACATTCGTTCCATAAACATTATTTTAGTGGAATAACACAATATAAACTTGGTTTTTTATCCTTACTTAATGTTTCGATAACTTCTTTGAATGGACGACGGAACATACAAACATCATCTAATAACTGTTTGCCAATTAATTTATTGTTGATCAAGACTGATGACAGTTCATTAAATAATTCACGAAAAATATCCAACATCAATAGAGCGGCATTAAAACGTGTGTCGCTATATAACTGTAGTTTCTTTGTTAAATTTTGCTGTTTAGGCGAGCAATGTAAGATTGAAACAATATTTTTTATTGTACAAAATAATGCTTGAAAGGCCCTACACCCACATTCCACATACCATACCGACACCTACACCCACGCCTCACATCCATACCCTTATTTGTTAACACAAAATTACAGACTAAGCAACAATTCATGTGGCTACTGCAAAATATCATAACGTTAATTGCTCACATTTGGTTTGTTAACGAATATAAAAAATTGATTAAAACAGAAAAAAATGTCTTTCGAACACACCACGACACACCCACCTTCAGCATATCCAACGCCAATCGCCTTAAAATTTTTGTTCATAATATTGGCAGTGTCCCGGGCTTTTGAGCCAAGCATCGACTACCTTTTCAGGAGTTTGATTGCCAGCAATATTTTCGCCACCGGCACAATTCCTGGAATAGTCTGCATCTTCTTCGCGGTCTACAAAACTACTTCCATCTATAACTGTATGAGAAAAGTAGTTACAAATGACTCCCTCCTTCCTCTCAAGTAATCAAAAGTCAACATTCGAAGACCTCTTTCTCCTCTAAAACTGATTATGTAATACTTGAATGGTCCCTAATAACAAAGTGAATTTAACTTGATTGTGGATTTTATTGAAAGATATTTCGAACGGACGACATTTTATTGATTATTTCAATTGAGTTATTTTCAACGTTGTATGTAGGAATGCAACGGTGACGATACCCGTGCCTACGGCTACCCAT